AAAAAAAAAAAAAAAATTCAATCATACTCGATAAGATCAATGTTCGACTCGGCTCAGCTCGTTTGCGTCCTTGTAATGTAGTGTCCAATTTGATACCTGGTTGTCAAATAGTCTTTGTGATTTGCAATTTGTCATTAGGATTGGAACTAAGAAAAAAAAAATGCAAGTTAGCATGGATAAGTTAAGCCGCAGGCGGACATCTCGAAGTAGTTAACAATAAAAATACCAGATCCGCTTCTACCCGTTCTGCTACCTCGTCTGCTTTGGCTTAACACCGAGAAAAATTACCTCCGTCTAATATAATCACTTGGTTTCCGTTGGATCATTTTCTATTTGATCGAGATTTGGCAGCTATGGAGTCCGCCACTCTTCTCCGTTCTTTCAATAGTTAGTTCACTCTCATTCCGTTCATGCGTCTCTGTATGTTGTTTTGATTACTCCAATGCGCACTTCTGATATTCAAAGGCTTTGTGGTTGTTGCCTTCAGCGATTTTTAGCTTGAATTTGATCATTTTATGTGTATTGCTCTGCCACACCCCCTCCCCCTTCTTTTAAAATAAATCTTCAATGACCTCTCTCTCTCTCTCTCTCTCTCTCTCTCTCTCTCTGTGCGTGTGCGTGCGTTTGTGCCGTGCGTTTTGGTTTCCAATTTTGCTAATCAGAAATTTGTTTCTCTGAAAATGATTTGTGAAAAAACCCATCCTACTGGACTGCCAGTGCAAATTGTAATCTTTAGACTTTATATGCTTTTATAATGCGAGGTGCTTTGCATTTGGGAATGTTGTTTAGGTTCAGCTATGTGAAAATTGGGAGCTGAGGCTGGAAATGGTTACTATGGATTGTAATGGTTGTGGATGTTTTAACTATTAAATTTGTTTGTGAATTTGAGCTAGTACATTAATGTTTTTGAGCCCTTAAATCATGAGAATGAAGTTCAATGAACCATCAGTGGTTGTTTCTGCTGGCAGCCTTTAACTCCTAAACCATCATAACTCAAACAATACATTTTCTTTTTACCTTGACGCTTATTGGTTTGCGTGGAAGCAACGCGTGGGATATCTTAGAGTGTGCTTAAAACTTCAGAGAAAATGAAAGTTTATGAGTGGAAGACTGGAAGTGCATTCACAGAGTTATTGTTGGTTAGAATTTGATTAGACTATCAGAATAAATTACAGCTGTACAAAGCCAATTGAAGATATTGCATATTCTTTACTTCAAAATTCTTTTGTCTTGAACATACCTGATGGACATTGAACTGCATATTTTCAAACGCATTAATTATGTGAAAGGATTTTCTGAATATTTGATATCAGAGAACCGATCCTATAATTGTAGATTATTTCTTGTTTAATGAACTAGATTAATTTAATTTTTAAGCTTTTTTGTTCCAGAAAAGAATCTTCTCTTAATCTACAGCTCCAAAGTCATGGACATGCACAGCGTTGTATCCCTTCCGTAGTTGAGGTGGTGAAAGGGTTGCCTGTGTAGTACTAATAGCCCCTAGATCTGACTTATAATCAACGACATTATGCACTTACGTTTTGTTTGTCTGGTTCTTATGATAAATAAGTTATAAGATCATTGCACATTTAATTTATTCTCACACGTGAGTTTCTTGAAGGTACCTGAGGTTTAAACCTTTTTATTCAGTTACAGATTCTGTCAGCACATATTCCCATTTGAGAACTGTTATTGAAAAACCGGGCATGCTTATCATGAATACTGCAGCCTTTTCCAGCAATAGGAAATTCCCTGCCTGCAGGGGAAGTGTTACTTCATTCAAAAACAGGAATGGATCTTTGTTTGTCTCATGTGTGAAGACTTCTGACACTACTTTGACAGCAAAGTCTAATGGTGGGTTGTTTAATCAAATGATCGTGAAGAATGGAAAGAAATGGGTGCGACTGGATACAATTTCATTCAACACTTTTTTCCTATACGATTTCTTTTTAAAAAAGCACTATTCAGTTACTTTTACCTTTTCTCCCACTAATCACTTATGTGCGTTTTTAAAATGATAACCATCCGATCAGTAATTAGGCATAGACTTTTCTTTTAATAATTTTTGCTGTTCAATTACACGTATAACTCTTAACTACCAATATCCCTTTTGGGNGGTGGAAAAAAAAAAACAACAAAAACTCTAACTACCAATATATATTGCCATTATTTTTTAGTTCTATTTTTCTTATAAAATCAACTTAACAATTATATCAATTCACTGTCAAAATATTTTCTCGTGCCTAAACTCAAAAATTCTATATGGAAGTGTATCCAGATCACCCCCAATGTCTTCAGTGCTTAGTTCTTTTGTTATCATTATGTCATTGCTGCATTCAACAGTCGATGTTTATTTCTCATTCAGGTGACCCTAATGGAGCTGTTGTGTCAGAAAGTCAACAAGGAGCCCAAGAGAAGAAAACTAAATCTAATGCAACATTTCCCAATGGTTTGGAGGTGTGCTTTTAGTTGAAATGCTTTTGTATGGGTCATGAATAGGATTGGTTTTATTGCCCTGCAAGTGTAATATTGCATATATTTTTTTTTATTAACCTATTTTGTAGTATCTTTCTTGACATCTTCCTTATTTTGTCTTAAAACTTCGTACATTTACACCAAAATTGTATGCTCTCCACAAGTTTCTTTGACATTCTGACATATTCTGACATTTGGTTTTGAATTTGTGAACTAATAATGAAGCACATTAGTTTTGAATGTTATCCTTATTATTTTACTTTTTCTTCATGTACTTGTTTACGTCAGATTCTCTGAATTCCTGATTTTGCCTCTGCTAACTAACATGTTTGTGTAATTTGTATTAGGCACTGCTCATGGAGGTTTGTGATGAGACAAAAATTGCTGAGCTCAAGCTCAAGGTAAACTTGTAAATGAAGT